AAAGTTCAGACTATGTTGAAGAATAAAGGCTGCCATACCAAATATTGACTTTCAAGTTTGTTTGACTTGTGGAACCACTGTTTTTGCCTTATATACTGTATTTCCATGTATGTTTGCACATCTTTCAATAGATCAGTAAACCTATTACTAATTTTTCTAACAAAATACAAAGAAATGATGGTGACTCAAAACTTTTGCACAATACTGTATAATTGAAATTCATCTGCTCCTGGTCTAAACAATAAAATCAATTATGGAAAAAAAAAATGCAGGATGTAACATTCATTCCAAGCAAGCAAATGCCTAATGGGGTCATCATTATCTTAGCTTAGCTTGTGAGCATGCTAATGTTAGCTAATTAGAAAAAAACAGACTTCCCCTGCTCAGGCTGAAAGCAATGCCATTCATTTTGCAGATACTCATTTATAAAATCAATCTGATAGCCTGATTTTATCAGGCAAAAGCAAATAATCTAATGGACTCAATGGCTGATAGTGGCGCTGGGATAGATCCCTGCTGCTTGTGTAGCTAAAGATAAAGATACAAATGAGTGTTAAAGTTTAAAGCCTGACAGCCAGTATGCTTTTAGTTAAGGGGGGTGAAAGAATTTCAGAAAGACATTCCTCGCTGTGATTAATTTGACATAATAAGCCTCACTAACAGCTATTATTGGAGCTAAAGTCCAAGCATCAGGATGTCACAATATCACCACAAGCATTCCTCAGAGCATACTTGCACCCCAAATGCATACCATACCTTCCCTGAGTTTGAGGAATGAGAGCCAACTCACTCTTCCCATGCTCCCCCCCCCACACTGTCCATTTCCTGTTTGTTTATAGAGCCTTGTGTTTCAGTACTCCCACAATATGTGACTTAATTGCTTTAAGAATCCTAGAATTTTTTTTTTCATTGATCCAAAAAGAGAAAAACTACAGGGTTACATCAGTAATGAAATACAAACATAGCAAAGGTATTTTGTCATGGTACTTTTTTATTGTTCGTTGTTTGTTTCTCAGGACCAGATTCTCTCAGATGCCAGAGTATTATGGTTTGTGCGCCTAACGCTGACTCACTGGTCATTCAGAGCCTGAGAAAACAGGCAAGGTACATTCCTCTGCATAGCCTGACCTCCGGACTGATATAGAGACTTCTTGGGAATTCGTTTTGTTCAGCTGTGCATGAATCACAGGCAGCTCAGCACTTAGATTGCCCCCTCGAAGGGTTGCATCACTAATCAGTGAGAATTACCATATATGTTCAGAACTGGTCATATTAGCAGTTGGTGTGTAACAAGTAAGCAAAATAACCAAACTTTATAACCATAAGCTTGAAGCTGCATTTAATAAAAATATTTAAATCAGCAGTTAAAGATTGAAGAGACGAAGCATGTAAAAGATCACCTAATAAAAGTGAGATCTTCAGGTTAGCTGATAAACTATTGCAGTTAATTCAATCTTACGGCTGTGATCTCAAAAGACCAGACCCTTACTCATACTCTTCTGTGTATGAGGACCTCGGGTAAAGAAAAGTTCAAAAGTTCAGTTTATCATGGATTACCTCTTTATCTTTAAGAAGAGACAATAAAAACACACTGCGGTTAAACTGTAACAAAACAGAGGAGCTAAACAACCATAGTTTGAAGTTTTGGTCTGCACCCAGAAGTAGTAGATGAAAAGTAGTGGGCCTAAAATTGACCCCTGTTGGACTCCATAGTTAAGAACAAGCTGGTATTTCCTTAAACATCACAAAAGATTAATTTAAACAAAGAGGTCCAACCCAATCTGAGACTATTCAAGAGATTAACATGCCATACCATGTCTAACACTGTTCTCTGGTATTTAAATTCAGTTTTATTTATTTATTTTTATCACAACAGTTGCCTCAAGATGCTTTATATTGTAAGGAACAGGTAACCACTAACCTTGACTTCTGGTCAGTGGTTCTTTCTACAATTTTATGTTAAATTTATTTATATTTATTATTAATTTTCTATAATTAAATTTTCAGTTTATCTTGTAATTTTATACATTTACTATATATGTATGCTGAGGTGTTTCCTCTTGCCTATATGGCACTGTGTTGGAATGTGAGGGGTCCAGGGGATGGGAGGTTGTTGATGATCTTAATGTACACAGCTGTATTTTGGTCTTGAGTTGATACAATATATAGAGGGAAAGGATATGAGGAAACACCTGGAAGGCAGGATAAACTTAAACATAAACTACACTACAATCTTGAAACTGAAAACTAAGAATATGCTACTTAGTTATTTAAACCATTCAGGTTTTATACCAGGTCTCTTTAAGATATGAAATATCACATGTTTAAATCACTGGTAAAGGTGTTTCTGTTTAAGATGTGTAAGATATAAAGTTGAGCAGATGATGACTTTAACTGAGAAATGGTTTTTAGTAAATCAGACAGTGGGCATAAGGTCACACAGGGGAGCTGTGGCAAAGGATTTGACACCTGATGTTGTCAGTCTTACTTCAAATAATAATAGTAATAATTCTTAAAATAAGGCCACGGATGGGCAAACTGTGCATTGATATAACTGACATTTTTGTTTTTGTTGCACTTTGTATGAAAATGATTGCTTGATACAAAATACTAATGGCGTTTTATTTTGAAAGCTTCCCCACCTCCCATAAATGCAACTCACTGACATGTTTTATGGCCCCATCACATTAATTAATTCCAAGCAAAAGCCAAGATTACCCCAGTTCATGTAAAGCTGATGGAGTTCCTAACATCAACTATTCCAAATAGACTGAAGTGGATTTTTTGGAGGTGTCATTTCAGGGGCGGTGGGGATCTGAAGACACCTGCTTCCACCAGAAACAACAAAGAGGGTTTATTCTGGGGGTAGTGGGTAGTGACAGAGGGGATGGTTCAATCTAATTACAGACTCTGGGGAGATGACTTCATTGAGATGACGCCCAGCCCTAGAGCGAGTGAGGTTTTTTTTCTGTATCTCCCATCACACCAGGGACAGGCCTGCCTAATAATTGTAGGGTAGTCTGGACTGCACCTTTAACTTGCACAGTAATTAAAAAGTGGACTCCAGTTCACTGCAAGATGATCTTGTGAGTTAAGCAGTTTCTCTAGTGTTTGTGTTATTCTAAATCCCATCTTTTAGGCTTACAATTGTGCTTCAACACCTCAGTAATTGGTATGGCCCGGAGTGCATTAGTTTGCTGGGAATTTTTTTTATGGTTTGAACATCAATTTTCCACAAGAGAGGGGGGGGTGCAAAGATGGGATGCTGACAGGCTTTCCTCAGGCACTACCATGCTCATAACCAAATTATAAGCCCATGCACGTCATTCTTCCGCTCATTCCCAGGGCAATCGACAGCATCTGACAGTGGGCTAATGAGCCACAGAGTCCTATCTGTAGCTGAGATCAGCTGCCATTAGCAATTGTGATGGCCCCCTTTTCAATTTTCTCAGAATTGACACTAATGAAAGAAGAGGCAGGAAATGACATCCGTGTTTAGGCTGTCATTACTGTAAAGTAGATAGAACTGACAAAAAGAGTAAAAGCATGTGGAGAAGTGAATCTATATAACCCTACAAGTGCAGTGATGGGCCTGCAGGCAGATGTAGGATCTATTAACTGAAATTGCCAGGATTGCCAGTATACATGTCACATGGAGATAAACTGCTGTTCCCATCACACATCAGTCCATCAGCCACTTAAGAGCTCTTTCTAACCATAATGGAGTGCACACGGGCAGAAAAAGTAGCCTGGAAGCAACTTTGACTTTTCTATGAGTGTAACGAAACACTAGGAAGGACACAACAGCCTCATAGGAAAAAAAGAGTGTATACAATTTAATTAAATGCATGCAAAACACACCAGAATGGCTACTAATGTGTTACAGTGTATGTAAATGGTACAGGCACAGGGCTTCATGTGTTTTACTACAGTAGTTTGAGTACGCAAGGATCAGTACTAATGGATTCTTTTAGTCTGAAGGTAAACTGTAATCATCTGTAATCTACCTTAATATCATTAGTGTTCAGTAATGTCCCTGTGAAACTATGTTAACCAGATAAGACGTCAGTTGCAGCTCTTCATATATTGCAGCGCCATCTAGTGTCCTTAAAGGAGCATAAAGTTATAACACGGGTATATTTCCTATCAGATAGCTCCTGATAAGTTTTTATTGTAGCACCAACATCGTGCCTGAGAAATTTTCCAGAGGAAATTAAAAGGTTGATTTTTTTTTTGTTATTTATTTATTTTTTTAAAGAAGAAAAAAAAAGATAATTCCACTGATGTAGATGTTAGTACTGGTTGACATGCAGTTATCATTCATACCCAGTGAAAAGACACAAGGACACAGAGCTTATAGCTTTAGGAGTGGGGTCCTAAAGCTATAATAAAGCTACCCGTTCCTGAACTGGCTGCTTTGTTATTTTGCCATGCAAAACACAAAGGGAATTGTTCTCAGCCTAAATAATACATAGTATGACAGCATGTTGTTAAAAGCAAGGCGTCATAGGGTGGCTTTGGTGGCAGGATTCCCACTTAGCCTGCACAGTTACAGACTTACATACTTCTATTTTGTCGTTTTTGTGTTTTTTGTATGTTCACATGTGTAAATAACCCCAACAATAGACAGGTATACACACAGGAATGCAGTAAAGTTATGTTACTTAGCTACTGATATTTAAATTTTATAATTTAAAATCTATAACCACATTGAATTTTCGCCTCTGTTTTTAACTTCCAAGTGTGCTTGACATATTTGGATCAAGATTTAATCTTGTTTATTTTTATTTCATTTATAATTTAAGCATTGAGATATTTATAGTATATTAAATGTCTCTATTTATGAGAAAAATAATAACTACTAGGTCTCACTGATAACGGTGATGACAAAAAGGGGCCTGCCAGAACAGGTTTTGAGGCGAAGCGACAGACTTTAGGACCCAGCTGATGACTAAATAAAAATCACGTGGTAGTGCTACTGAAGCGGGGAGGACGTTGACTCAATGCTTCCCCCTGTTAATAATAGACTTGGAGTGAGGTGAAAGAAGACTGTATATGTTTGCATCTATAGCTGTTATAGATGTTTTAGGTTTAACCGTCACAGGTAGGCAGCGGACATGGCTGCTGCTGCTGCCTTACTCCTCGCTGCACTGACTCTTGCCTGTTCAGATGTGAATGGAAATTTGGTAAGAATGAAACTAAAGGGTTTTTTTACAGTAGTTCAGTCAGCTGATCTTTCGTTTTTTCCCCCTGCCTCTCTCTACTTCCTTGAAAGGTTCGTGCAAAAAATATATAACTTTAACTATATATAATTTCTGTAACCTTTTATATGTGCACACATACATAGTTTACCTACAGTTGTTCTCGCAGCATCATTAATAACTGCCCAAGCTGCTACCCAAGTTCAGTCCTGAGAAATATGCAGTGGAAGTTATAGACAGATTATCAGCACTTTGACTCTCATAGCAGTTACCGTGACTATATTGCAGGCCTCTGGAGAGAGATCTTTCTCTATAGACTACAAAAGAAACTGTTTCCTGAAAGATGGGAAGCCTTTTCAGTACATCTCAGGGAGTATCCACTACTCCAGAATCCCACGGTACTACTGGAAGGACCGACTCGCGAAGATGTACATGACTGGACTGAATGCCATCCAAGTGTAAGCCGACCCCATCGCAAACATTTAAATATAAATGTTTTTCAACTGGATTGTTTGTTGGCCTTTATAAACATTGTACATTTACCATGTCTGTATACACAGATATGTGCCCTGGAACTTCCATGAAACGGTACAGGGAGTTCAAAACTTCACAGGAGACAGAGATCTGGAGCATTTTTTGGATCTGGCCAACCAGACGGGTCTGCTGGTCATCCTGCGTCCTGGACCGTACATCTGTGCTGAATGGGAAATGGTGAGAACAGAGGTCATAGCATCCACATCCCAAAGGTGCTTTGTTGGATTGAGATATTGAAGTCTGGTGATTGTGGAGAACATTTGAGTACAGTGAACTCAACGCCACCCTATTAAACCACCAGCATTCTGACCTGTTGATACAAGGCAGCATGGATACAAGCATTTATTTTACTTAAACCAAGTTTAGAGCCTACCATCCAGCAGAAATCAGTACTCATTAGACCAGGCGACATTTATCCAATGTTCTGTTTTCCAGTTTTGAACAATCTGCTTATTGTAGCCTCAGTTTCCTGTTCTTAGCTGACAGGAGTGGCACCCGTGTGGTCTTTACATGCCCAACTGCTTAATCTGTGAATCTGTTTTACATGTTCACAGATGCTCTTTGCATACCTTGGTTGTAACAAGTGGTTATTTGAGTTACTTTTGTCTTCCTATAAGCTTGAAGCACTCTGGTCATTCTGATGGGCCAGAGAACTGCGGCTTACAGGTAAACTGTAGTCATGATTATGTTGTAAAATCAGAGTACATCAACCGATCTGGCACCAACAACTACGCCACGTTCAAAGTCACTTAAATCACCTTTCTTTCCCATTCTGGTGACCAGTCTGGTTTTCAGTAGGACATTTTCTCCGTGTCTACGTGGCTAAATGCATTGTGTTGCTGCTGTGTGATTGACTCATTAGATATTTGTGTTAATGAGCAGTTGAGCAGGTTCACCTAATGAAGTGGCTGGTGGTATATATTACTATAACTGTAGTAGGATGCACACATTTATGCCATATTTCATATATTAAAAATACAAAGTTAAAATGTGTGGAGGTATTTTTTTACACTGCTCTCCAAATCCCTGTGGTGAGATAAAAGAGGCTGGCTAATCACATGATTGCCCACGTTTCTGCCTTCATTCTCTTCTAATTTTCTCTTGCAGGGTGGACTGCCTGCCTGGTTACTTCAAAAGCCAAACATCATACTGCGCTCTGCAGACACAGGTAAAACATGCACCTATGACCCTTTTTGAAATGTATTGCTTTATGAACATTATCTGTTTTCTCCCAGATTACCTGCAGGCAGTCAGCAACTGGCTTGCTGTTCTCCTCCCCAAAGTGAAACCTTGGCTCTATGTTAACGGGGGAAACATCATTACTGTCCAGGTAGAGTTCTAAGTGGGTCGCTATAAAGCTTTTTAAGAGTTAGTGTATTATTATTGGATTTGAAAATATACAATCTTAAATGCAGGTTGAGAATGAATATGGGAGTTACTACAGCTGTGACTACAACTACATGCGTCACCTGCGCACTCTCTTCCGCTTCTTTCTGGGCGAGGACGTCATCCTGTTCACCACTGATGGAAACACAAACAAGGAAATGATATGTGGGACTCTGGAAGGATTATATGCCACAATAGACTTTGGGACAGGTTGGTATTGTGTGACGGTGTCCAAAGATAAAACATCATCTTCTTGTTCTTTTAGAGATCGTTGTTATTTCTACATGTTCTTTTCTCAGACACCAACATCACTGAAGCCTTCGCCCGGCAACGACGATTTGAACCTCGAGGACCCCTGGTTCGTTACATATCTATTCACTAAACATAATCCTAAGAAGCAGGGGCTGAATATACACAATACACACTCACTGGCCATTTTATTATGTACACTTGTGTATTCTAATGACATTCAATTAAAAAAGCTGCAGAAAAAAATTCTGCTGATGTTTACAGTGGGTGGTGGTGCATTACTAATCAGTTACTTTTAATTTATTGATTGATATAGAAATTATTTAAAACGGAAAAGCTGAGCTCTTTACCTTTCTTCCTGGATACACTTAGAGTAGCTTTGCATGATTCACAGTTCAAAATAATCCTTATGAATCTTTCAGGGTGTTTCTCCATCACCTTCTAAAACAAATCTTTTTTAGGTGTGTCTCGTTCTGGACGACTTCCCCTTTAACAACTTTCTTTTTAATTGTCTTTGTCTTAAAGGTCCCCTTTCATACAAAGACAAACCTCATAATAGGCTCAGGTAGGACAGCTATCTTACATGACCAGCAGGGGTGGAGTCAAAGCAGTTAGAGAAAAGAAAGGCACAGTGAGGTGGACACAATATTTGAATGCAATGCAATCATGTGCAGCACTTCCACCACCTGCTATTATGTCAATAATGTACTATAGTTAAAACCTCTTTCACAAGTAAAAATGAATTTGTAACTCGTTCGTATGATTTCACAGGTATATGTGATAAAACTGTTTTAAATTACGTTGCAGGTGAACTCAGAGTTTTACACTGGCTGGTTGGATCACTGGGGAGATCAGCATGCTGTGGTTGATGCTCAGAAGGTCAGCAGAGTGCTAGGAGAAATGCTAACCATGGGGGCCAACGTCAACATGTATGTCTCCACAAACCCCCAAATCTTCCTCTCTGTAGAAACACATTCAAATAATAAAACTGTGTTAGTATACTAATGTAAAAGCCTGATCCAACAACCACAACAACTGGTTTATTTTCCCAGCTTATGAGCTTACCTGCAGTATCAGTGGCATGAGTCATGTTTGAATCCAACTGAAGATGCGGATTTTCATACCTCTCTTTTAAATTACAGCGAAAGGCCACCGTCCATTTACAGCTACTCATTTCCTACTTCATGCCTTTGTCCTTATACCATACTAGAGAACCTTTGCATGATCCAGAGTTCAAAATATTCCTTATTTACTTGAATTTACTGAAACAGGAGGTAGGTGGGAAATCTGTGATCACAGCCAGAGCTGTGCCTGATGGAGGGATTCCCACTCATATCATACAGAGCCAAGACTAGCCTTTGGCTCAAAAGTGTTACACTGATCACACATTAGAATCTTTAACACGGTGTGGCATGACAGGCCTTCTTTTTTGAAATGTTTGAACTGGATTAAGCTGACAGATTAACAGACATAAGGAGAGGTAGATACTTTTACTGCCACCTGTTTTATTCTAAAATGGGCATCGGTGTACAACCTCACTGTGACCCTGTGGGGATAAGCGGTTAAGAAAATGGACGGATTATGTTTTCTTATAGTTTTCGGATAAGCTAGGTAAATTTGGCTAAAAGGACATCACAGTGCCACTGCAATCAATGTAATGATCGTTGGGATCCTTTAATTTGGATTAAATAAAAGCCAGTAACCTCATCCTTTAAGACACCACTGCTAATTTCCTCTGATATTACACTCTACGTCTCTTTCTTCTCAGGTACATGTTTGAAGGAGGAACAAACTTTGGCTACTGGAATGGTAACTTATTGACAGCATCTCAGTATTCATTCATTCATTGTCTCAGTGCCAGATTATATCACAGTTTTCATGTTTTAGAGGCAGATAAAAGCTCAGTTTGCAGTTTAGTGATCTCTAGTAACGCTCTGTTGTTCTCACTAAGGTGCTGATCATGACACCAGGTTTCGCTCAGTAGTCACAAGTTATGATTACGACGCCCCGCTGACTGAGGCAGGAGACCCCACAGAGAAGCTCTTGGCTATTAGAGATGTCATAAAGCAGGTAGAACTGATTGAACAGCCACCTGCTAAGGCTGATGTCCTGATTAATGCATGATTAATTCATCACCATTTCCCATCAGTTTAGAGATATTCCCTCTGGCCCCATGCCACCAGCAACTCCCAAGTTTGTCTATGGCTTTGTGACCCTGCAAAAGGTAGGATCAGTTCAGGAAATTAATCCCAATGTCAAGAAATATTTTTAAAAATGTTCAAAACTCAAAAAAGTGTCACTTTAACAGGTTGGGGACATTAGTGGCCTGTTGAACACCCTTTCACCTCTGGGACCAATCAAATCTCAGTATCCTATTACGTTTGAAGAGGTGAAACAGGTATGGGGTGTCTGAGGGAAACAGTGGGGAGAGCATTATTGTAGAAACACTGTAACTCTTGAACCATGGAGAACTTCTAGACTGTTGTGTCTGCAACCTGTGTTGTCTATTGTGTTCAGTACTATGGATACGTGCTATATCGGACCACACTGCCGCACAACCTCTCAGAGCCCACACCACTTATCTCTCCACTGAATGGGGTTCATGACCGTGCATATGTGTCCGTCAATGGGGTAAGGCCTGACTGTGAACTTTTGTTGATGTCCTCGTCAGGGGAAAAACGTTGTAGGTTAAATCTGAGCTTGTTTGTCTGCGTCAAATTGTGAAGTTTCAAATATAAATGATGTTGTATCCGTTCACGCTTTTGGAAACATACAACCGTTTGAACAGGTTTTCCAGGGCCTGTTAGAGAGAGACACTGTGCTGGTGATGAATGTCACAGGACAGCAGGGGGACACACTGGACATCCTCGTAGAGAACATGGGCAGGGTTAACTTTGGCAGCAAGATCAATGACTACAAGGCAAGGCAATTAATAGAGCAAGCAAGCAGAGTACAAGCATTTAAAAACATACATTTCCCTGCAGCTGTTTGGAAGTTGCAGCAAGTAAAACCATGGACTACGGGTTTTAAATGGTAAATATTGTGTGAATTTCAGGGCCTGTTGAGCAACTTGATCCTGGGTAAAGATGTTTTGACTGACTGGAAGATTTACCCTTTGGACATTGACGGAGCCGTTACTGGTGGATGGCCTCACGGCAACGGCCGAAAGTCTGACCCTGCTCCTCGGAGAGAACCTACACGTGGACCAACCTTCTACATGGGGACTTTGCAGCCCAACGGCTTAGCATGGGACACTTTCCTCAAGCTCAATGAATGGACTAAGGTAATGCTGACTATATTTGGGGACATTCTGGACCTGGCAGACTTTATTCTTTTGTTTATTTACCCCACGTTTCTAGCAAGGAATAAAATAACTGTATTCTTCTGGATGTTTCTTTTTCCTTCATCAGGGTCAGGTTTGGATTAATGGTGTGAACCTGGGACGATACTGGCCAGCCAGAGGGCCTCAGCAGACTGTCTATGTCCCCGGACCCCTGCTTAGCACCACCCTGCCCAACAACATCACGGTGCTGGAGCTGGAAGGAGCTCCAGGACACTCGAGGGTTCTTTTTATGGACCGACCTCAGCTCAACATCACGCCTAAAAAGCTTTGACGGAGCCCACTGAATTTTGAAGTATTACATTTTCTTCACATTGCAGCTCTAAAAATAATTATCAGTCTAACTGAAGCACAATAGTACTCTGAACAAATGATCTCACCTGAAGGAGCTGCTACACAACAGTATTTCTATGGCATATGAGACAATCTGATGTCAGCAGTTTTAATTTTTGACACAGAAACACTAAACACTCAGTTACTTGCTGTTACAATATTCACCAAGCCTGTGCAAAAGAAATATATGCTGACTGTTGTTTTTAATTATTGCTTTTCTTTTTGCCCGATTACAGATGCTGTAAATAAATTGTACATTGATTTTATTACATACAGTATATGTATCCGAGTGTCTAAAATCACCTGCCACAATAAAATTAAGGCAAGTCAAAGCCTAAAAAAAGCCAAATTAACCAGTACTTTTAATGAGGTAGACTCCTCTCCAAGTAAAATAGTTCCTAGATGGACACTAGGTCTTTCCTGGAGGAGCATTTGCTTTCCGATGCATTTGAACACAGCGGGGAGTACAAAATGAATAATCCAGGTACTGAAAAGGGATCTTCCCAAGCAGAGACTCCCCACACAGCCAGCACCTCCTGTTGACAAAGACAAACACACAGAAGAGTCACACCGTATTTCAGTGCAGCTTTTAAATAACTTGCTATTACATTATGCATTAGCTCAGCGAGAGGATGGCTCTTGAGAGACGTACTTGATATTAGAGATGCTGGCTCCTGTTGCAGCAACCTGCGCTGCAAATCTCTTCTCTGCTGCCAGAGCTCTCTATAATCAATAAGCCAAATATGAACATTTCCAAAAAACAGCCTCTTACAAGGAATCAGCTGCAGACCTTTAGCAGTAACCTACCTTTTCACGATCAGTCAGAGATACAAACTGCTTCTTTTCCTCTGCCTCCAGCTCTTGTTTCCTCTTTTCCTCTTTCTGCTCTTTTTCTCGCTGTTTTTTCTGGGCCTTCTGGGCCTTTTTCTTTTCCATCTTTTTCAGTTCAATCTCTGCCGTCAGCGGCCCAGGGATCTTTAATTGCACAGGAGTAAGACAGTCAAATTACCAGCTTCCGTTTAATGCAATACATGTTCAAAGGTGCACGAGTTTAACCTTACCTGGGCCTTGCTGTAGTCGTATTTGTCGGGATTATCCCCCATATATTTCCGAAAGACGTTTCTTGTGTCTTTGTCAGGGGCGACGATGTACGGTGTCTGCCCTTTATTATCCCTGTAAAGGAATAATGTAGAGATGGTAATTAAACCTGGGCAAGGTTTCACTGTGTTCACTTCAGCTGCTACACAATCACACTTTTACAACGCTTGACGATAATATTCTTGATACCTGCAGGAGGGGTCTGCTCCTTCATCTAGGAGGAGGCCGATCGCTGCCTTTTGTGCAGCAGCTGTGGCAACATGCAGTAATGTGAACCCTGAAGCATCAATGGGTTTATTGAGGAGAGTATGAGGACTTGAGGCATCAGAAAGTTTGCTCTCCAAATGCTCTTGACCCTCTGACTTTTCCACAGGGAGCTGGAGGAGTGTGCGCAGAGCTTCCACATCCCCAACCTTGCAGGCAGTAAAGAGTGCATCCCTGAGGCTATACTCACATGACTCTTCAACAACATCTATAAAGAAAGAAAGCTTAATGTTGAGTTTTCACACTTGAAAACAATGCATTACACAGCTTTTGCAAGACTGAGAAACAAGTGGAAAAATATAGATTTAAACCCCTACTCACCATCCACTTGTTTCTTGCTCTGTACCTTCCTTTTCCTCTTGCTCTTTGACTGCACTTCTTGAGGGAGATCTTCTACTGGTGTAGCCTCTGGCAGTTCCTCTTCTTTACCTTCTGCTTCTATGCTCTTTGGATTGGTCCCAAATGAATCTGGTATTTCATAAATTTTGCAGAACAATTGAGTAATAAACTAGCATGCCTTGGATTCCACCTGCAATGAGATAGTTGATCAGATCTACCTTCAATTGGAATTTTAGCTTCCTCCTTTCGTCTCCTCCTCCTTTTGTGCCTGGAGGGATGGATTTCACACTCCCTGAGGTCCAGTGTTCCTAATGTCATTTCCACCATCTCCAGTTGGATCTCCCCACACTCTTCTTCATCAGTGCTTTCGCGGTTTTCTTCAGCTGATGCAAGCAATAAATTTGCAGTCAGGTTTACTAAGTTTAACATTATTATTTGATGCTATAGTTTATCCACCGAGGTCAACAGAGAGCTTACAGACCATGTTTAAACATCTTAAACCTACCTTTCTCTTGATCTGTGTTTAGTTCTGCTGTGGGTTTAACAGCTTTTTTCCACAGCTTTTTAGTTGGACTGAAGACTGCAGAAATGTCTGTGTCTTTCCCTGAAAAAAAGATATTACTGATTGTGCGATAAATATACCTAAGCTGCATAAACATGTGCAGGAGACATGTTATTATTTCAAGCACTTCGTGCTTCTTACCATACACATGAACAGTAGAAAGGACCTCATGTACCCTCTGTACCTCTCGAAAAGTTGCCCTGCGTGTTGCAAAGGGGATTGTGCAGATCCTGGGATCTTTTTTATCAAGGGGACCTCCTCGACCACCAAAAAAGATAGTTTTGTTGTAGCTGGGAGCTCGTATGAATATTTTAGAGGCCCCTTTCAAGTGTTCGGCCCAGGTTACAAGAAGGTCCTGAATGTCCTGCAAAAAGTTAAAAAAATTTAAATAAAAATCCAGGTTAACAAAAAATAAATAAAAAAGAATACTACGTCATCCTATGAGTGAGGCAGAGAATTTAACCACATAGCCAAAACGAAATACTTGGCTCCATGGCTACACTACCGCAACCTCACAAAAGTACATGATCTATTCTTGGAGGAGAAAAACTAATGAATCAGCCAAAGGAATCTTGAGCTTTTATAGCCACTGTTTGAAAAACATCAACCAAACTTTATGAAGAAGAACAGATAAGGCATGGCTTTCACTCAAAAGGCGATCTGATGGAGCGCAGTATGACCTTGACTAGCGCCGCCTCATTGTGTCGTCGCAGTGCAGCTCCTGCAGATTTTGGTGCGTGACTGCGGTTCTGAGAATCTCTGAGTCCCTGGGCAGTGCCTCGTTTTGCTCGCACTGTGTATCGGTGGAAGGTCTTGTGCAGAAGGACTTGTTTTCTGGAACATAAAATACATTGTGCTGGACGCTTCACATCTCTGTGAATCGGCTGTGTTGTTGTGCTTTAAATTTCAGCCATAATGTGTAATATGAAAGCCTACAAAGCAGGGAAATAAAAAATTACCCTTCAAATACAGCACCAGCAAAATGACCTCCACCAGTCATGAGAATGACCCACGTAGTCTTCTTTGTTATAGCTTTCAGAGAGGATCCTGCATCGTGTTCGTCATCCAACTGAAACTTTTCAGGAAAAATGACAAAATATTAAATTATATAAATCTAAAGTGTTTTTTTTTTGTTTGTTTTTTTTTTAACAGATTATAGATTTCATTGGACTGATCCTCACCTTTCCCTTAAGTATGCAGCGGTAGACTAACAGATAATCTCCCACTGAGTTCTGGAAAACCAACTTGCTGGAGACCCGACCAGCTGTTAAAGGAGTTTCACCTGAGCTTTCCATGTCTTTGTCAGAGACCGTTCTGCTTTTAACTCCAGCATCGCTGTCCGAGTCTTCGTCCTCTGAATCGGACTCTGAGCCCGAGATACTTGATAAGTCTCCTGTAAAGTGACAACAATAGGTCAGTTGTTCCAACTGCTTCAGACCTTTTTTTTTCCTAGTTAAACTCCATCTTAGATGTGTATTACTCCAGTTTCCTCACCTGCACCCGTCTTCCTCTCAAACTCCTCCGCTGTGAGGGGCGGCAACATGGCCATCTTTTGTCTCAAGTTGAACCGATGCCAGTCAAGCTTGTAGTGCTCCCTCTGCAACACAATGCATGTTCAGGCACCAGTTCTCAATGCATGAACAGATTGTAGAGTACTGCGTGGTTACCTGCTCCTCGCGGTTAATAAAGGGACATCTGCAGGCTGAGCAGACCATCTTCTCAGACACCTCTCTAACCAGGCTGGACTCGCCTTCTCGCCTGTCATCTTCAGCACTTCTATTTTCCACACCTGTGTGAGGAAAGACATTTATTCAACGACTGAATAAACTGGGCATCTTTTTCCCCACAACATCATATGTGTTCCATACATACAATCTGAGGCGAGGTCAATAATTACACCCTCCTTTAGGACGGGGTTCACCTCTCTCAATCCAAAAGCCTCATCATTCAAGCACAAATCAAAGATGGAGCGACAATCTTTGCGGGTAGTCATCGTTTGCTGGTTGGTTTATCTCATCTGTAATGGAAAGAAAGAGAAACCTGCTATAAGCTGTAGCTGGCGATCCCCTAAAATAGTGTTTGGCTGGGGCAGATCCACGACAGTTAACTGAACCAGATCATTAACACTTACTCTCCTGCACGAATCATAAGAGCAGCTGGCAACAACCTCAAGCCTATATTTATAGTGACAGTTTTGATCTACAAGGCTAACCCAATTTTGCTAATGTAAACATAAGTGTGTGCTCTTTGAACGACACGTTCAGCCACAATCTATTTAAAACACCGACTCTGTCCACTTCCTTAAACGGGACTTTAAGGACATTACAACTACTAAAAGTTACAATGAACTACTGGGAAAATAGTAAACGACTTACCATAAAAGGAACTGACAAAAAGCTGAGCCAACCTTAGGGTAACATGTGATTACGCTGACATTTCTACGGAAGCCCAAGAGCGTCATGAATGCTTCAGCGAGTGGCGTTCAAAGACCAAAGGTTGTAAATTAGCCGATCTTTCCTTTCAAACTGCTTTCACCGCGTTTCAGCAACGTGCATATATCACTGCAGATATGCAGATTACACTATTTATTCAGTTCATACACAAGTTTTCTTTATAATTACTAATAGTTTACAAACGTAGCCCACCAGTACTTAAACAAAAGTACTGATGGAACTTAAAACGCTAGTTTGGGTTTTAAGAATAAAAAAACAAACAAAGTTGACTCTAAATTACATAAAACAGTTAGTTGAGTTAATCTGCCTGATTAATGGTAAAAGGCGATTACAGACACTTTATTAGGTACACATTTTGAACCGATCATTGACTATGTATAATCATAATTAATCGGCCAATCACATGAGACCAACTACATCTAGATACGTTTCAAAAACCATCCAGTGAGCGTCAGTCTTCTGTAAGAAAATGTCTTGCTGATACCTGATGTTAAAGGAGAAACGCCAAATTGATTCAAGCTAATAGCAAAGCAATGATAATGACTGGTTACAACCAAGGTGTGCTAAGAACAGTAAACTAAAAATAGTTTGTACAGGATAATCAAAATTCTGCTGCAGCATCTGGATATTAGGGCCAACCAGAGCTTGCTGTAAACAACACAAAGAGCTGTTTGTGAGCCCAAAGAGTCAGCCGTTGTTTCTGAACCAAAAACAAAAATCCTGCTCAGTACAAAAAAAAGAAAAGAATTCCTTTCACTGTCTGGTTTTTTTATAGACAGCATTTCCTGAAGAACATATAGCGTGACTGTTGAATGATTTTGCAGCTTGCTCTCAGCTGTGGCAGCCTGGTTGCAGCTGCTGAAGCTGTCATCAGCATGTGCATTTAACCAGCTAAGGAACTTAGGATTGAACATGTGTTTGCTATAAGTGAGAGCATGTGGAGAGTGTGAAAGTTTTTCCAGCATTGCAGTTTTGTAACTGCATGGAAGCTTGCTTCTGCCACTGAAAAAGAAATTGGATCTATAAGTCAAAATTTCGGGTTACCAAAGCGAACGTCTGACAAAATAACTTTAAAGTTATTCTCAAATTTTTGAGATAATAACTTAAATTTATTACCTATGGATGCAAAAACTTTTTTTTTTTCCCCAGTCATGGAAACGAGCCTCCAAGATTGCCTTGTTGATTTTCTGTGAGCAACAACATACAGTAATGTATTATATATTTATATATTAAGAAAAACAGAAAGATTTTGTATCTACTATGCAAGTTGCCTGCTGGATTTATGTAAACTGCAAAATTTGGGGTTGCAAAACCTTAGTTATGAAGTAGGAAATCTGATTTTTTTTTGATTTTGTTTGCAGTCACGGGTCAGAAAGTTGAGCTGTCAATGCATCCAGGATTACAGCAGTTCAAACTGACCCAACCACACCCTCATCAGTTTGCTAGATTATGATGGAAGAAAGAAACATGTCATCCAGACATGATATCTTTGGGTTTTAATGAAGACTAGATGAAATGGGGAAAATAGGGAATAAAGGTTTTGTTTTGCAAAATATTGCAAATGGCTGACAGTGTGTCAATTCTGTCATCACTGAAATCTCATGAGACATGAGAAATTTTAATCTCCTCCATACTGTAACTGAGATAAGCATAAACATTTTGCAATATTTGTCATCTTATTTAATCACTGCATAGAGAAGGTCGACCATTTGTGACTATGTGAAGCACCCGAGTAATGAGAAGCTGAGAAGCTTTGGAGATATTCACTGCAGAATCATCCCCTTTACTGTTATTTAAGAAACAATAAAATACATTTAAAAGATAAAAATGAATATTTTATTAGCTGTTAAAAATACTTATATACACTTTATTGTACTTATTAAAATAACAGTGTTTGTAAGTCACTGCTTCGTGTGATTTCTCTCCAACTTGTAGGTTGGCCCAGGGAGCAAAGCTTGACCTGTTGACAGAGAGAGAGCACATTTCACTCCATGTCTGTATACAGTAAATTCTGTACGTATTCTGTGAGTAATCCCCATACCCGCTGAATAACGATCCTCAACCTCTTCTAGCTGCTGTTTCACCTCCAGGATTTCAGCAAGAAGCTGGCTTGCCTTAATGCTGGCGCTTTCACTCTGGTCCTGCAAACTGAGCCTTTCACTCCTGAAATATATAAAATATATATTGTAGGTTTGCACATGTCGCGTCTGCTTCGGTTTTGCCCACAGCACTTCGGAATACCTGTCTGGAGAGCTTTGGCTATTTAGTTGTTCAAAGAGATCCATCTCACTTTGGAGCAGATGACCCAGTTGTTGCAGTGCATTAACGATTTCGCTTTTTTCCATCATTAAATCCACTCTCCGTTCAGTTTCTCTCGTACTGTGAAAGACAGCAAATACATTATGTAAGGGCTACACATTTAGAAACAAAGGCAAACATCACACCGGGTTATGCATAATTAACTGTTTGACTAAATCTAAATGGGCAGTAGGTAATTTTTTCTTTTTTACGTTAACTTATTATTTTGAAATAATTATTGATTGTTCAGTGTAAGGGCTTTGGGATCTGGACACTGTTAGCAATTAGATGGTCACTGTCTGAACTCTCCCAGAAAGGCTCGATTGCGCAACCAAAACAGAATGAGCATACAGTTGTCCACTGCTTTTGACAACCAGAGCATCTGTGGAAATATTACCCAACCCTAACTAACTAAACCCTAACTAACTGTACCCTAACTAAAGGACAAAATACTATACCTTTCAGAAGGTGATCAGTTAAGAATAGAAATATCCTTTACTGTCCCTCACTGGAAAAACTTATATTGGAATTCAAGTTCGAGGTGTGTTTATATTTCAAATTAATACAAGAGATAAATCTTTATTCCAGACAAACTAATTAATTTTTTTTTTTTTAACGCCAGCTGGCTTATGAATGTCGCTCACTAATAGACCTACATGAGGGAAATCTTTGTATGTGTCTCTATGTTCATCAACAATATTCCTGGAGGAAGAAATGATGTTAAATAGTTTGGATAACACTCCAAGTTAAGACTTGGGAAAGCTAAACGTCACTGATTACTATAAAAACAAACAAACAAACAAACAAAAAAGGAAAAAACACCCCGAGCAAGTCTGGATAGCATCTACCTGAAAACAATTTTTTTTACTGATCGAAGGAAGAATGGATCCATGCTTTTATGTTGTTTACAGCAGCAGAAATGGCGACCCATCAGACCAGGCAACGCTTGATGAGCCCATGTGAACTGTGGTCTCAGTTTCCTGTTCTTAGCTGACAGGAGTGGGATCCAGTGTGGTCTTCTGCTGCTGTAGCCCATTCTACTTCCAGTTCAACATACTGTGCATTCAGAGATGTATTACTGCATACTTTGGCTGTAATCAGTGGTCATTTTAATTACTGCTGTCAGCTTAAAACAGTCTGGCCATTTTCCTTGACAAGACATGTTCACCCAGAAAACTCAGTGGATTTTCTCTTTTCTTAACCAGTCTCTGCAAACTCCTGGCTGAGGAGCAAATTCCCAGTAGATCAGGAGTTTCCTCACCAACAGCTGTGCCATTTTCAAAATCACCTCTCTTCCCCATTCTGCGGCTCAGCTTGACCTTGAAACTTGAATTACATGTCCAAATGCACTGAGTTTGCCGATTAGATTAGATTGCATGAGGGAGCAGTTCAAGACACGAGGTGTACCTAATAGACTGGTCGATTAATCTACACTAACAGCCTGTTGTGCACCTCAGTGCACCCACCGACGATATCTGGTATCACATCACAGGAAGCATTATACGGGTTGAGACAATATCAGGTTTTTTGGACACTTTAAGCGTGACATGCACCCAATTTAATTGGAAACTAAAGTAAATGGGCGGTGTACCGTTTAATTATCTCTTCTTCAGTATGCAGTCTTCTCTGTTGGACCTTCTCCAGTTCACGATTAGTTTCTTCGATAGCACGCCGCAGCTCATTAACCTGCTCCTGCGTCTCCTGCAAATTGCAAAGTTTGCATGCCGTAATTCACAGCTAGCCTGCTGGCAAAGAGTCAAATCCTGCTCTGTTAACGAACTGGCATCTTAGTTTGTTAATACTTCTGTTGTTTACTTGATAATTAGTAACTTTAGCATCAGTGTACGTAGCTGCCAGGTAGCTAGTCATGTGCAGGAAGGCTAGCTTACAAAACAGCGTCGACTTACCGCAGAAACTTCGTCCTGGGTTAGAAATGTATGGCCAGAAAATGCGGTCATGCTGGTATTTTCACGTGGAAGAATTCCTACTGGGATGGAAACTCGGCTTTTCCTCTTTATAAATACTGCTTCCGGCTGAGTTAGCAGAGCCCGGATAGCTCAGTCGGTAGAGCATCAGACTTTTAATCTGAGGGTCCAGGGTTCAAGTCCCTGTTCGGGCGTCAGAGTTTTTATTTCTTCTACATTATCAACAAAAATTTTGCACAACTTAGTAATGATTTAAAATTAACTGCGTTCATGCATTGCACGTGAACTGATGGTAAGCTTAGTTTCAGTAGAAAGAAAACAGCACTCTTGGTTCATGTACACACCTAAAGCCTAAAATTGTACCAAATTTCTGCCAGACATTAAAACCATTTCATTTAAAGCTAGTCATTGATTTTAAGCTGTTATTATACACAGTGAGACCTCACATTATGCCACTGTTGCAGATGTTGTTTATGAAAGAATCAAACTAATTTGGAGATTAGGCTCACTCACAAACAGCTAACACCAGCCCTGTTATTTACTTGAGGTAATTATGGGTATTATCTAAGGACAGCAGTGGGAACACATATAAAGCTAGGTGTTAGTGCATGTCAAATGGTAACACTGAAGGCATACCTGACTGGTAAAGATGGAGCGGATTATACTCCTCTGCATGGTTTCTATTTGTCTCTCAGCTGTGCAAGCTCAGGTAAATGTGCTTGGGACCGCTGAATTTAATGAATTCATGAACAGAGCTGTAAATAAATTTGTCTGTGCTTTCTGCAGAAATTTTTGTTCAACCAAAAGTGGGGTCCCGCTGGCTACAAAGGTGCACTCAGCTTCGATTTAATTTAAATTATTACTGTGACTGACGTAAAACTGCACACTCCCTCACAAATTGTTTTTTTCTTTTTTAAGAATGGAGAGGGGTCAATGAAGAAACGGCAATGGATAAAATCATTAAAACCAACGAGCTTAAAGGTAAGTTGCACACACTTTACTTGAGGGGTTTTCTTTTGCAGATTCCCCAACTTGCTGTTAAAAAACTTTAATCTGATTTCTGCATCAGCTACGCAAATCATCGATGGCGCCACCACCCTCAGAGAGGGAGATATTGCTGTTTCCTCCGGAACACCCCCCAGAATCTGCTTTGCACGGAGCTGCCTGTGGTCCAAATCAGTGGATGGACATGTCTACATTGCATATAACCTCTCACCTGAATACAGTATGTTGTTTTAGCGTTCGAGGCATAAGTACATGCAATGGATTACAGTCTTCTTTTTAATGATGTATGAATTACTCGCCCCTGTTAAACAACTGAACAGATGACATGGATACAATGCTGATAAAGACAGGTATGGCCAACATAGAGCAAGGTACCTGTGTGCGTTTTGTTCCACGGACTCACCAGAGAGACTACATCGACATCCAGCCAAAGTCAGGGTGAGAGCTGAAGCGTGGAAAGTTTGATTACATAAAATTCCTTTTGTAAAATGTATTCAGGTTTTGTTTCCTATCCAGCTGTGAATTCACCACTTGAAGTTACTCTTCTGTCCTCTTATGTGTTAATCCAGTTGCTGGTCCTACCTTGGTGCGCGTGGTGGAAGGCAGACTGTGTCTCTCCAGATCCCTAACTGCGTCCAGGTTGGAGTGGTTTCCCATGAATTCATGCACACCTTGGGCTTTGTGCACGAGCAGTCCCGCTTAGATCGGGACAACTATGTCACCATCATGTGGCCAAATATTTCAAGAGGTAATTTTAAAGTGTGCAGGGGTTGGCATTGTGGAAAGGGAATAAAAGCTTTAACTGTATTTCTGCACCGATTTTCAAAACAGAAAATTCATTTTTCCAACAGATCGGTTGAGAAACTTTGAGAAGTTCAAGACTGACACTCTGGATCTGCCCTATGACTATGGCTCGATTCTGCACTTTGGAAAGTAAGTAAAAAATGATCTGTTAATCACTCAAAATATTATAATTTACCCCCTTTATTTTAAAATATATTTATAAGCTGATACATATTTATGTATATGTTTAGATATGCCTACTCCCAGCGTGGGGAAGCAACCATCCTTCCAAAGGACAACAACAACATCCAGCTGGGCCAGGCTTTATCTCTCAGCCACATTGACAAGCTAAAAATCAACAGACTTTATAATTGTGGTTAGTACCAAATGTCCTGAATTAACTCCTAAACACACTGCACATCACTGTCACAAATGTAATTTCTTTCTGTCTTTCTGTTCAGATGACATGGATGATTAGAGACCCGGCTGAATGGAAGTGAACCAGGAGTAAAGGCCAATTTAACAAAACTGCAGTTGAATTATATGAACAGTTTCAATAAAGATTGATTCAAACCTTCTATCAGCAAATCCTTGGTGTACATGAAAGTTTGTGCGTTTTAAATTGGATATTTCTCTTTATGTAAAAATATGTCTCACAGTAGATAGCCTGGTTTGAAATAGACACGTGGTAATGCACTCAACAGTAATATTACAGATCAATAAGAGATAAAGAGTAATAAAGCAGAGGCAGGGTAATAAGGTATGTGAAGAATCTTAGAACGGGTGACTTGATCACATTAAACAGGAGATCTGAATTTGTTTTAATGAGGAAGGTTAAAGAACAAAGTCTCTGGTAATAAATAGACATGTTCTCTATATTTAAAAATGTGCTACCTTAACTCAAGATGCAGTAGTTTCTTCTGTTCGTCCAATCACCACGAGGGAAGTTTTCATAAAGTGCTGACACATGAGAATCTTCGCTTCGTCACTGCCCTTCAAAATTAGCCCCTTGATAAGAATAGAAGCAATATTTGGAAAAGGATAAAGTTTTGTTTTTATATATTTAACTGTGTGACAAAAAATGACCGTTGCCAAGACAGTTATCATCTGATAGCATATCACAAAATCACTAGTTGCCAGCTCAGTCAGACACAAATTGCTGGTCTGTCGGGCTGAACTCGGACAGCAAAAACACCTTTAAGTGCCTTGTTTCTGAAAGTGCTGAATCTTGCACGCAATAAGTACAGGGCATAAGTGAAGGTCAGCATCAGGCCCACCCGTTATGGATCAGCAGTGGATTTAGAGTAAATTACACACACCGCATGATGAGGCATCTTAATCATGCTTCATCATCTGAATTGAGGCCCAATCAGTACAGAGCAGCGGAGGAGAAGTGGGTATATAGATTCAGCGGAGGTGAGGAGTTCATTTAGCTCCTGCATCAGGAGAGCGCTGGATTGAAACTGGTGAACCAGCCTGAAACACAACAATGCATTCTTCCATTATACTTCTGGTTATCTTGTTTGGCTTGCTGACCCAGGCGAACACAATACCTGTTAAAGTAAGTATGTAATTAAGAGGAGTATATAGACTCCTTTTTTCTTGTCTTGTCATGCTTTGCAGCTGAAATATGTCAACATTTTTTGTGCGACAGAATTCGACTGGTGTGCACGAGGGGAAAGTGAGGTTGAAAAGGAAATTCTCTGGTGGGTCACGATTCCTTGCACCTCATCTTGCATTTTCACAGTGATTTTCTGTTTATTCCATATTTATTTTTGTGTTCAGAGGAAAATATAGAGCATGATGAAATGACCACAATGGATCAAATCCTGGAGGTCAATCGCAGTAAGTGAACTGTAAATTACATAGAATTGTACTGATGTCAGTTTTTCCCCTGCATATTGAAAAGAATGTATTTTCTCATCAGAGATACGAGCCCCAAGAGGAATGTCAATAAGGGACGGCGATATTGCTGTTTCTCATGTAAGGAGTGCCATAACCTGCCCCGGCAACACCTGTCTGTGGCCTAAATCTGTAGATGGATTTGTCTATGTACCCTACATCATCTCTCCACTGTATGGTATGAAGCTTTAAGACTTAAGGAGATGCTTCCGGTTTCTTATATCCCTTTATTATTTCATATTCTGCCTTTTTTGTGCATTCTTTCACCCTAACTTTAGACGACATGGACAGAATCACCATAGAAACTGGAATGCAAGACATTTCCGCTGGAACATGCGTTAAATTTGTTCCCCGCACTCACGAAGGCAACTTCCTTGACGTTCAGCCTAGATATGGGTGAGCGTGACTCCTGCTTATGGCTTCTTACAGTGTGCCGTGATGATTGTACATACCGTAGAATTTGTGCTCTGCATCCCTCCCTAGCTGCTGGTCATTTCTGGGGCAGACTGGGGGAAGCCAGACCCTGTCACTGCAGACTCCTGGGTGCATGTGGTCGGGAATCGCTGCTCATGAATTCATGCATGCTCTCGGCTTCGTACACGAGCAATCCCGATCAGACCGTGACAACTATGTCACAATTATATGGAAAAACATCATGCCAGGTTCGCACGTTTTATCACTACGTCATTCTAATTGCAGTGGCTCGATTTTTCACAAAATGAGTGTGAAGGTGTTTTGTTTTTTTTGTTTTTGGCAGAGCACATACATAACTTCAGGAAACAGGTGACAAACAATCTCAACAGCCCATATGACTACAACTCTGTCATGCATTATGGACGGTGAGTTGCTCTCTGATTCAACATAATTATCTGTCATTTAGACTCGGGCATCACTGTATCATATATGTTTTGCATCTTTGATACAGATATGCCTTCTCTGAAGATGGCGGACCAACAATAATCCCCAAACCAGATCCCTATATCCCCATCGGCCAGCGAGATGGTCCTAGCGTAATGGATCTTCATAAAATAAATATCCTCTATAACTGCGGTTGGTAGATTTATACAGCAAACTGACAGTTGTTAGAAAAAAACTTGAAAAGGACTGACTGGATTTCCTCTCTGTTTCTCACTACAGCTACCGATGACTAACTGGATCCAGAAACCTCTGCTGTAATGTCCTGCCAGATGTCACAAATAGTTTATTACAACTTCTCAGCTTGAGATGATAATCTGGGCGACAGTGGTTTAACCTGAGTCTATAGCAATGTATATTTTATTTTCACTGTCTAGTCTGCACTTTGAGCTTTTATTGATTCAAGACCTTCTGCCGTGGGGTGTTATAAATTACTAGATAACAACTAAAGGCTGCATTTCTCTAGTATAAATAAAGTGCCAAAAACAAAACTCACCAGTTTTAAGTGCCCGCTGATGCCAGTAACATCATTGTATCCGATCTCCGATCTATTTTATGGCTCTTGTCTATCTTCTGCTTACTTTAAATTAAAAATAAAAAATAAAAAATGGCTAATGGTTTATTTTTATTTTCCAGAGACAGACTACAAGTTGTAAAAAATAGACACTGCTTTCAGGTGTAAAAGTAGAGTAAATGATTTCGCACTTACATACGTGAAATGAAAACAGTATAAACTTCACATATGTGAAAAATAAACAGTGGATGTTATTAGGCAAAAAAATTTTTTGTCAAGAGCTGGTAAACAAGATGTTCAACATATTACCATTTTGAAGTAACCAAAGTCACTGACATTTAATTTCACAGTAAGCTGATATCTCTGATCTCTCAGGGCCGCTGTAGTTTTGGACTTGTGCAAGTCCATTAATGTCCCAGGTGCAAATGGAAAAGACACTGGACAGGTGATTTTCACTGAGAGAAGATCTGTGTCTGGATTTGTTGAACTTCATCCCCGAGAAAGAGAACCAATGTCTTCTGAGCATGTGTCCTTATGTGTTAAAATGATCTCCTCTTTGAGATAATAAAAACTAGCAGTGATACTGACCTGAAGTGCTCAAAACCGAATGAAAAGTGCAACAAACTGTGTGATTCACTGCTCTTGCCCTGGTGAAGTTAACTATGCAAACTGCAAAATCAGCAGTATGGTTAATTTTTAGCACATCACCTGCCACAGTATAAATCGATGGAAAAATATGAATTTCACTTCTGGGTTAATTTTACTCACTTTCACAATTTCACTGCTGTAAATGTCTGACATGTCTTGATGGATAAATATATTAGGATTTTATATATGCAATGGGGACTTCAATAACAATGGTGCCACCCCCTAGAGAAACTAACACATGTCACTCTCTTTTTGTAGCTTTTAAGGGTGCCGATATTACGCTGCTGCAGCATTAAACTGTGCATTCTGCCAGGCTACATAATGTCTGGGAGTTTATGCACCACTCACTGTAGAATTAAGCAAAACTTGCCAATTATCTTATTGTAGTGTTAAGCTAACACTTACTTATGTACACTTCTTGGCCACTTGATTATTTACACCTTCCTAGTAAAAGATTGAGCCTTCTTTTCCATTTAAAGCTACATAAATCTTTTATGCCATATACGCTGAACAAGGAGCTGATCTTGTTTTGGTGAGCCCCTGCATTTTAGTTGTAATGAGTGTTTTTTGAGTTACCAGGTGTTTTCACCCAGAAAACTGCCACTCAATTTTTTAAATTCTCCCTAAACCATAGAAATGTGCAAAAAATAACAGTAAATTAGTAGTTTCTGAAATACTAAAATCAGCTCATCTGGCACCAACAACCACGTTGCATTCAAAGTCACTTAAATTATCTTTGTTCTCCATTCTAATGCTCAGTTTGAATTTGAGGAAGTTGTCTTTGCCATGTCTACTTGCCTACATGTTTTGAGTTGCTGTTGTGCCATTTATTGATTACATATTTGCATTAGAGAGCAGTTGACCAGGTATACAGAATAAAGTGGCCAGGGAATGTGTATACTTGTATTTCCTTAATAAGGATTAGTGCAGAGTTTGCATGTTTCGGTTTCTTTCACTTCCCCAGTTGTTTTGTCACATTACTGTCTCCCTCAATCACTTCCATTGTGTTTTGTGAGCTTTTGTTTAAATTTTTATTTTGCTATTTCAGTTGTATGTGTGTTTGTTTTGTTTTTTTATTCACCTTCTGTCACAGAGTTTTTCTATTTGCTGGCATTGTACAAAATAGATGATATTTCTCTCACAGAAGAAATGCAAAAAAAAAATAAAAGAACTGAAAAAGTGCTGATGAAGTAACTAAACTACAAGCAAAATAGCAACAGGACTTGCTATAAAGTTAAAAGTTTACTGTTGTTTTTGGATTAAATTGTGATAAAAATGTTGGCATATTTGCTGTGCCTATTTTACATTTTCATTGCCTAACTGTTACATCTACTCCTACCGTACCAGTTTTAAAAGAAACTAAAAAAAATTAACATCGTGCAGAATTAAGTTCAGCTTGTTTCACAACACTCCGAGTTTCTCACGTGGCCTCTTGGGGGAAATTCTACACGTAACCAAATCTCGTGTTTGGCACGTAAAAACGCGATAGCCAGCCCCGAGACTGCTGGATCTTTCTAGATGCAGACCTGGGGGTGGAGCTAGAGTCTCACACACGGAGACTGTGTAGTGTAGATTGTATAGTATCTGTCAACAATAGATTAAATTTCAAAAATGAGCGATAACGACAAAGGCCGGGTACGTATACATTTTATTACCGTTTGTAATGCATTAAACATTTCAAATCATTGGGTTTGACAGGGTAACTGAAATTGTAACGGTAACAACCTTATTCATATTTTGTTGGCTAGTAGTACCCAGCTTACCTTGTTGGCACAACTCTTTGGTCGAAAGCTGGGTTTTAGAAAGAAAATAAATTGCACAAATTTAAACAATAAAAGGCGACTTTATGCGCAACGGATGCGAGTTTTTAGTTCATCTTTAGCTACCTGGCTAAGACTAGCTTATAGATGAAAGCTAGGCCTGGTGCTTTTTTGTTTACGAGCCGGGGTTTGCACTGAAAACACTGCAATGTCGGCAAACATTTTTATAACGTTTTTAAATCGTTAAAACTCAGTAATTTTCTTCGTCTGATTTGTCTGATTATTGTGCGTAGAAACCAAAATAAATATTTCATGTCGTCGCGGATTCAGTGGAAGACATTTGCCTAACGAACTGTTATATTTTCGCTGTTTTGTTGATGTTGTTTTTTGTTCGTTTGTTTGTTTTTGTTTTGTTTCCCCCCCTGTTCCCCGGATTGAATTATATCATGTTACGTCTGCTGGTTATTAATCTTTGAATGTCATTGTGGGTTTCCTTAGTTCTTAGGCACAACAACAATTTAAAACAAAACTAACGACCTCAAGATTTGACCTTATAAAAAAAAATCATTTTTATTGACTCATGCAGCTCTCCCACACCATCTTAAAACTGTTAAAGCTGATACGCCACAAGCACCAGCATTATGGATAAGTTTGATTAATACTTGCTGGGCTGACTGACCTGTGTGCAGTAATATCCTTCCTGTAGTGAACTGTTTAATATCCCCTCACCTTGCACAGCTCCTGAATGCTTCTGTCTGTTTAATGGGCGTGTGATATGCCCTGTGTTCCCATGTGGGAGGGTAAATGGCAGATTAAGAAAAAAGAAATGAAGAATTTATTTTCTGCATGTAAACCCATATTTTGAACTGGTTTGTATTAGTTCCTGCAAGGTGCTGGGTGCTTGTTGCTTAACTAACAAGTTTTGTTTTTTTAGTTTTTTTGCCTCTTATTGGATTCCTTTTCTTTTGCTAATATTTAATCTTTAAGGTTTTCAATATATTATGTAATCGTAACAGATAGCAACAGTTTTCTGTCTTTGCATTTCCAGAACAGGTTTTAAGGGCTGCTCAAATGAGTGACTGCTACATCTTGAGGTCGTTGGAGCAAATTTTACACTTTATTTTGGAGTTGTCCACTTAAAAAAATGGAGACAGTGTTGGTAGTTTTAATCTTGATTATAAAATATTCACAGTCAGTGGTTTGATGAACACTATGGTGACTTAAAGGCCATTTGTAAGAAATTATGTAAGAAGGGTTCATTTGGGAAAATATATTGTTAAAGGAAGGCAAAGGGAATCACAAGAAGTTACCTTCACATCCTTACCCTTCAGTTTTAGTTGTAATTTTTAAAAAATGATCACCCCCGGTTTTACCTCTCAATTATTCCAAATTGTTTTTGAGGAGGTTCTTAGGAAAAGTGGCCAGAAAAACACAAAAGTGAAAGCAAAACCACTGAGCGTGAATGTTAATAAAAACACTGACCGTATGTATAATGTGGTCTTTAATAGGGCTGGGCGATATGACCCAAAATTCATATCTCGATATTTTTTAGCTGGATGGCGATATAAGATATATATCTCGATTTTTCTTTTTAAAGCCATAAGTTAAGAACAAAAAGAGAGTTCTTAGTCACACGGGCACTTTTATTTACATACAGCGTAGATATTACTCAAAAATAAATTATCAGCATATATTAAATAATCATGGTCCATAAATAAAAGAAAATAATGTTGTTTTTGTGCATAACAAAAAGCTCACAATTGTGCAGTCAAAATGTAAACTAAAAGACGCTGAGCATAATAACAAAGAGACAGATTTCACAGCTGCTCCACGTCTCTGAACAGGTGCCATTTGTGGTCCTTATACACACACTGTACGTATCACTCCGCGAGGCTCCTCCTCTGTAGCCGTAATTCTCCGACAATCCATCAAGCGGTGCAGCTCCGTAGCTTAGCAAAGTCATATTAAAACATTTTTTGACAGATTGCTGAGCGCTGTGTACCACATAAAATCGGTTCGCGGTCAGTAAGCACAACCAGAATTCATACATAAGGCGCACTGTCGATTTTTGAGAAAAGGAAAGGATTTTAGGCCGTGCAGCCCCTCTGGGCTGCATGTCGTTAGCGTGGTTAGCTCGCTAACACGTTGACGCCATCCAGCCCCACGCACGGTAACTCGCTAACGGAGATTTTCCGCTTTCATCTTGTCATTGCCTGCAGGTGAAGCTATGGGGGAGGCGGAGTTGTGTTCAGTGCAGGAGAGGCGAGGCCGAGTAACGTTGCGTAGAGACAAAAGTGGACGAAAGAGAGGCAAACCTGCGGCTCCACAAGTATAATTATAACGTAACATAGACTATATCGATATAAACGATATTGTCACATCTTATATCTCGTATGAAAATATATCGATATTTTTAAAAAACTCGATATATCGCCCAGCCCTAGTCTTTAACATTCCCATTAATGTCATTAGCTCGTACTACTACTACTACTACTAATAATAATAATAATAATAATACCACATTAAACGTTGAATGAGCGTGCAGTTTTAATTGCAGTCATATATTCTTCATCCTTTTCTTTTTCATAAAGGTTAAGGTTGGACGAAGAAAATACGGAAGATGTCCACTTTATTTTCAATAATATGAAGCTCAGATGTGTGAAGCTGAATTGTTGAATGCATGCTAAAACATGAGGAGGGAAGAAGTATGGGCAGTGTGTGAGAGATGGGGAAGTAAGAAGAAGTAAGACAATTGAAGAAAGAAGAATAATGTCAAGTAATGAAGTTACAGAAATGAAGTTAAGGAAGTAATCTGGATAAGGTCACTGCGCTAAGTAAATTTCTGGTCTGTTTGTCAAATGCGTGCATGTTCTTCTTATTCAATACACACACATTAGTTTAAATCATTGCAATTTTATCTCACAACTGACCATTTTCTTTTTTTCCCCACTATTTAACAACTTATTAATGTAAACATATTGATGTCATATTATCCATGACTACACAGCACTCCTATTTCACAACCCTAAATTCCTGTACTTTTCACAGGATAGTCTTAATTTTTAAATACACAGTAATATTTTGGCAAATGTATGTGTTGATCACTTCATTGGTGCTGATAAAAAAATGTGTGTGGTTCGTTCAGGAGTCTCGCTCTGCATCCAGGAGCGTGAGCCCACGGGGCTCTGGGAAGTCGGGGAGCCAGTCCCCAGCTCAATCCCCTGCCCACTCAAAAGGAGGCTCCCACTGCTCCCGCTCCAAATCTCGGTCAAGGTCAAAATCTTGGTGAGTAATACACTGGCATAAAATTCTCTACTATCGATAAACAGACTCAATATGGCCACTTTCATGTTATACCCACCCTGTTCAGGGCTTCACGGCAAGAGAATCCTGGGTTCAAACCCAGATAGGGGACTTCTCTGTGGAGCTGACTTCTTCCGTTTCTCTGGCCATTGACAAATCTTGCAAAAGTTCAAGAGTGTCACTTCCAAGTTGTTGAAAAAAACCCCAAACAAACAAACAAAAAAAAGACATTTACATCTGCATTGTCTGCCAATTTCTGCGTCATGTGTGAATGAGTGTCCTGGTCACTGTACTACAAACGCAGTGACAATGTCAGTAGATCGGACCATGCAAGTAAAATTTACACTTTCAGTGCAAATTTTCAGTGGGGAATTAAGTGTTGCAGCTCTTGATGGTTGACAACAAACACTATTCAGTTAAACTATATGTTCATATTTCATTGAGGCACAACGCAGCTTAACGGTTCAGTCTCAGATGTTACGTAGTTGAGGTGAGAGCCTGTCTCTATCTCTCACTCTCAATCTCTGTGACAGGAAGTTGTTACCAAGCGAAAGAGGCACGAGCCGGCGGGTTTTGGAGTACTTTGATCTTAGAAAACAGAAGGTTTGTGTGTTGGCTACGTCACAGGAAACTGGCATTTAACTAGCATCGCTAGGTTTAGCCACACGCTGCAAATTAATCTGACATTGTGCGTGTTTTACATGATGCAAAGTGCCACACATTTCATCAACATTTAAATATGATGTGGTTATAGAAGACTGTGAGTAATGGTTTTAAATAGATCTTAAATACATACACAGTATTTCTGTGTGCAGTGTTTCATCCATTAGACTGTGTGCACTTCTACCTGTTTTCTGACTGTTTTATTACTTTTAGGCTATTAAAAAATATTTCACCTGTTCATCTCTTTAATATTATTACTCCTATTGGTGGTCCCAAGCCTGGATAAATAGGAGGGCTGTGTTAAAGCAAACATGCAGATCAATCCACACTGTGGCAGCCCCTTGGAAAATAAGGGAGCAGCTTAAAATACCTCCAATAAGACATTTGACTTGTGCATTCTGTTTCCCCATTCACAGGAGAGAGACTTTTTACTCTGTTTGTAAGGTGCAGGGGCAGCGCTGTCATTCAGCAATACAGCACCAGGTGTATTTTTGACAGAAACACTTTAAGTTGCACAGAAATCCAAAGTAAATTGTTGTTTTTCAAAAGTTTGCGACAATGTCAATAAAGCCTTGTTGGAAATTTGACGTCACAGAGGGTTTAGTGTTAGAGATTGTGACAGTGGTAAGTGGGGTTACTTTTCACTAGAGTCTGGGATGTTTTGGCAGTTATTTTAAATATTTCATGCTTTTTTTTTTTTTTTTTTTTTTTAGTCCATGCTATAATTTTCATAAAGACAAATGTAAATTTGTGGAATTACATGAAAATTGCCAGAGAACGTATGAATATGGGTTGTTTGTTTCTCTCGCTCTCTATAGGTCACATTCCCACCGCTCACGGAGACACTACAGCCGATCCCGCTCCCGATCACGGTCCTATCATCACCGATCTCACAGTAGGTCCTACAGCGGAGAGCGTCGGCGCAGAAGCCACAGCCATTCACCCATGTCCAATCGTCGGAGGCACATTGGCAACCGTGTATGTGCTTAGCAATGTGTGATATCTAAAAACAGAGGATGTATTGGTTTAATGAATGATTTTAATGAGAAAATGATCACATCCAAATCTTGAAACCTTTCAAATTTGCAGGCTAATCCAGATCCGAATTGCTGCCTGGGAGTCTTTGGCCTGAGCTTGTACACCACAGAGAGGGATCTGAGGGACGTCTTCTCCAAATACGGCCCCCTGGAGGATGTTTCCATTGTGTATGACCAGCAATCGAGGCGCTCCAGGGGCTTTGCTTTTGTGTATTTCGAGAACACAGATGATGCCAAAGAGGTACAAGAACAATAATAAATAAACCCGCCTGCCACACCTATACTTAAAATATCCTCTAGGACTGCAAGTGTAATTTATGTTCACTTTCAGGCGAAGGAGCGAGCCAATGGCATGGAGCTGGACGGGCGTACAATCAGGGTGGACTTCTCCATCACAAAAAGACCTCACACCCCAACACCTGGAATTTACATGGGCCGGCCCACATAGTAAGCAATCTCTTTGTGTGGAATAATTAAATATGTTTTTAAACAAAGACACAGTGAAAATGCTTGTAATATAAGACAGCTCTAACTTATGGACACATCAAAGCATCTGAAATAAAATTCTTAGTGTTACTAAACCTGAAAAGTAGTGTTTTTATTCAACATTTAATCAGTCAACAGTAAAGGGGAAAAAAGAAAATAGAAACAGGCTCTTACAAAATTAGTCCCTGTGTCATAAGTTGTATCCAGTTGAACCTAAAATGAACGCAGAGATTTTAATGGTAAAAATGACACAACTAACCTCTTCAAAGGCTTTCTCCAACCTCTTGGCGAGTGGTTGCTACGGTCTCAGTCACACAGCCCTAGAGTCTAGTCAGTGACCCCCTGATAACCACAGGTAACTAGAGAACAGTGTAAGCAAGTAGGTTCTGGCAGTTGCTAGGTGAAATTTGTGAAAAAGAGGTATATAATGCTGCACCAAAAACCTTCTTTTAAATCTTTTTAATTGGAGGTGAGAATGTAACAGTAAAATAATGCAAAAGTACGCTTTGTGTAGCGTGAAAAATCTTATATTATTGCTTTTGTGTAGCGGAGGAGGCGGCCCAAGCGGTCCCCGACGCTATTCACGTGACTACGACCGTGGTTACGACCGTGGATACGACCGTGGATATGACCGAGGTGGATACGACCGCTATGATGACAGGGACTACTACAGATCATACAGGTGACTGTTAAAGGATATCAGCGGTTACTTTATTCTCATCGTGTCGTATTTGGGTTTGCTGTTCTTTATTTTATCCCCCTGACACTGACAAAAATGATAAATGGTCTTTGTTCCTCTAGAAGGCGATCTCCTTCACCTTACTACAGAGGCGCTTACAGGTCTCGATCGAGGTCACGGTCTTATTCTCCCCGTAAGTCATTTCAATAAAGTATCAGAAGTTTTTATTGAAGAATCCAGCATGTTGTATTGTGTCATTTAATTACCCTGTTTTGTTTCACAGGTCGATATTGAAGGCTTCTGTCCCCTTATCTTCCCAAACGTGCAGAATTTTTTTGTTTGTTTTTTTTGTGGGGGGTTGTTACGTTTTGTAAAGACAGATATGATTGACTTCAGAGTACATCTTTCTTACTGTAATCATCAAACATCTTTTTGCTTAAAATACAAAAGTATAGTAAATTTATGAAGCGGTGCATTCATGTTTTGAACGCCTGTTGTAAATGTTATACTCATGTCAGATTTTTGTTGTATAGTGGAGCAGATTAAAAAGCAGATCTGTTTTTCCCACCTTGACTCGTGTCCTTCCTCGCAGTATTTTTATGCCTTTTACAATAGACTATTGCATTTGCAAGATAGTTGTAATGCTGACATGAATATATTAAAGCCTTGACTTTATGATATTTATGCATATTCTTTCTACAGAATTTGTGCAAGGCATTTCTATTGATTTGAGTTAAGTTAAATTTTCTGGAGGGCTTCGTATAGTGTCAAGTGGGTGAGGATGACATCAGGAATAAAACTGCTTTGATGAAATAGTAAAACACAAAAGTATTTTAATCTTCCTGTTAAAAGCTCAATCACTCGGGCCTCGTCCTTTCCTTACTGCAGCTGTTCATGCCGACCACGTTTAGCTGGATGGATTTTTTTTTTTTTTTTAACCAAGCTGGAACTTTTTAATTAATTTATTTTCCCCCTAACTTTTCAGACCAGAGTAAACAGATCTGACCAGTTAGACAACTCGTTTGGCAACAAGCATAGCTTAAAACTCGTCTCTGTGCTGAATATACAAATGGTAAAATTATACTATTTTGTTGGGGTTTTTTTAAACCTCAAACACAGCTAGATGCTTCTCTGGGTCAGTTGGCTCTCTGAAATCAAAGTAATGAATCCAGAATTTCAGTTTCTCCCTTTTCTGGTTAGAAACATCAGGACCTGCTCATCGTTGCTTGGTGTCAACAGTGTGTTTTTGGAGGACAGATGTTCTGCAGAAACGCAACGTGTTTGATGTTTATACGTTACAAGTTCTGACCTCCTCCACCTAGGGTAGTAACTCATCCCTCACCCATAGCTGGCACTATACCGTTTTCTATCTGAGATCTATGGTCTTGGACTTGGATGTGCTAATTCCTGTGCAGGTGGAGGAGGTCAAGTGTCTTGGGGTCTTGTTCAAGAGTAAGGGAAGAGTGGGACATGAGATTGACAGATGGATTGGGATGGCGTCCACAGTGATGCAGATGCTGAACAGATGTGTTGTGGTGAAGAGAGAGCTGAGTATAGAAGCTAAGCTATCGATTAACCAGTCCCCCTACGTACCTACCCTCACCTATGGTCACAAGCTCTGGGAATGTAGTCGCGGATACAAGTGGGAGAGATGAGTTTCCTTTGAAGAGTGGCGGGGCTCGGTCATTCAAGAGGGACTCGGAATAGAGCTGCTCCTCCACGTTGAAAGGAGCCAGTTAAAGTGATTCAGGCATCTGACTAGGATACCTCCTGGATTGACAACAAATGGTGAATGTTTGCAGATAATTCAGCTTCTACCATACAAACTGCAGATAACCACAGCAATCACAAGTAGCCAGGCATGCACCCTGACCCACCGGATGAGCTGGAGGTGTCTGGGATGAGGGAAGTCTGGGCTTCTCTGCTCAGACTGCTGCACCCACAAACTGAACCCAGTTAAACGGTAGAGGATGGATGGATTGACCAATTCAGAACTGAAAAATCTGGGCTTTCGTGTCACTTTTTTGCAACATGCTTGCCGTGTAATGGCCTAAAGTTGGACCTTTTGACATCTGTTGGTTGCAGCAGTAATGTACAACTTCTTCTTTGAAAGTGAATAGTCTCTGTTTCTGGTTTCCATTACACAATTTCCAAGTTTCACTACAACTTAGACAGCAAGTGGGGACTGTTTGCAGATAAATCCGCTTCTTCAATGCAAACTTTAGGTTTTAAGTCAACCAGGGGAATGATCTAAAATGAATATGATTGCTTAGGAGAAAAATACACAAAGAGGAGTTTGTTTATGCAATCATGCTGACCCTTATTAACATTAAATTACATATGGATCCTTTTTTTTTAATTGTTAATGATTGATAATAAATAAGGGTTTGAGGCAGTTTCCCAATGCAATAAAAAGCTGGAGTACTATCAGGCTAATTGGTGCTTCTAAACTGGCTGTAGATACAGGATTAAAGTGCTGCATGAATAGCCTGAAAACTATGAATGTGGTGGGCAGCGTAAAGTGCTTCAGGTTGTCAGTAAGACTAGAATATCAATATCATTTTCCAGCCTGCTTTGTTGAGGGTCAAAGGTTACCAAATTGTAGTACAGCAGGTTTGTCCACAATAGATTCGCCTTGTATAGCCATAGAAAACGTTTATTTAATGTCAGAAGAAGGTGAGTCGTTGGACTGCTTTATGATTTTTTTTTTAACGTGGTTTTGAGGAAAATTGATCCGTGACTAAATGCAGCTAAACAGCCACTGTGAAATCAAGTCAGTTACACCAAGCACACTGTTTAAACCTTCACCACAAGGTGAAGCAAGAGCCTCGGAGTAGCACCTAGCTGCAGGAAAGCAAAGTCCAACATCTACCCCTGCTGGTCACAAATGGTCCAAATCTGTATCCATGACATACAGTACATTACATGGAAAAATATTACTTGCTGGATTCTTCGCTTATTGTAGTTTTTCCCTTTTTGCCAGAGAGGAGAGGGGGAGGCGGAGAGGCAGAGCTCATGTCTTGTAAAAACAGGCAGTTTCTTTACTCAAAGGGTCAGTTCACCCAAATTATTAAAAAAAACACAATCCCCCCTCTTATCTCAAGTGAGATCAAGCCATGCAGATAATTTTTGTTTTATTTGTCCAGGCTTTGCAATATCCGTTCTGAGATTCCTCGCTTCACGCCAAGACCATTGAGGTGAAATGACTTCATTTGTGGTGCACTGCGCACAAGCACCTCAAATTATTTTTGGTTTTGTCCAAAATTTGGGTGATTAACTGATAAAATTAATTAGATTCCCACGGTGGAGATATTGACAATTTTTAAAAATTCTAAATCTTAAAATTAGCCATATCTGATGTATTTGATGCCCTCCAGCTGTTTGAGTTTCACTGAGTAAATGGATGCTTTACACTTTGGTTTACTGCACAACCAAGCAAGAAATTGACCCTGTAATAGACACACAGAAGATACAACAATAGATTCACTAAATATATATCGATATCACTAAATTCAGCTCTGATTTGAATGGTTATTTTACCCCAAACCCTATTCAACAGTTTATATTGTGGACTTTTGTGGCTTTAGTGCTGAAATTAATAAAATTAAATACTTTGCAAGGGAGCATTGTAACTTCCATAATTTATAAATTAGTACTTTAAACCTTGAATTAAAGTAAAAGATGTTAGAAATGATAAATAAAACAGTGTTGGGCAAGGATACTGTAAAAATTAATGCAAGTTAGAAGCAAGAAAAATTCACAAAGATGTTCTTTTTTTTTTCACTACCAAAAAAGGGGAAGACCAGCAGAAAGACACCAGCAACCAGTGACCACACCTTGGAAAGTGCATAAGCCTATTTATTTCCATATTCTACCACAAGTCTACATGTGCAGTATGTGTGTAGTGAGTTTTGTTCAGCAGTTCTCAGCACGTTCCCCAAATGTCACATCCCTTCCACTCTCAGCTCAATTTTCCCCTCAGAGTGGAAATAATTTTTGGGTGGCTGGCGTGATTTGTCAGCACACTGACCTAATTGGGCATAACACATAAAAAGAACACATGTAAACAAACCCTGCTTTTCACGGGGAAATGCAAATGCGACGCATGGATGTGATTTTATGACTTCTATACTGATCATGGGGAGTGGTAACATTAATAAAGTAGCTATTAATGCGTTCAAAGCGACTTAATGACTTGTTTGAATGGTGATTCTTATCTCTAAGCGTAAAGACCCAAGACAACTGTGTTAGCAGGTCACCTAGGAAAGTAACTAAAGAGCTTGTTTTGTAAATAGGCCACAGTTTGGACATTCCTCTGTTCGCATACTGACGTAAACAGGGCAGGGATGGTCAGTACTGCTGCTGTTGGCACTATCTCCACTACAGTGGGGTGGCAGTAATGTTCCAAGGCACAGGCCAGTCACATGTAGAAACACTCAGCTGCTGTAAGCACGAGGCTCCTCCCCCTTCGGTAGTGTAGGTAGAAGGACTACACATCCATGCACGAGCCCTGCAGCCACAACCTTTCACTGACATTTCAGCCTTTGTTTGAAATTCGCCTTACGTTTAGCCGTGCTTCCCTCCCAAACACACCCATCCGTGCGCACACACAAAAGAGACGGGATGCTACATCATGCGTAGGGTAATATATATATATATATATATTTAAATGAGTGGCCTGAGTGGCACCGCATGGAGGGCGCATGCAGCACAAGGCCTGGGATCCCCTCGCTCCTTCTTATCAGCAGCTTAAAATAAATATTTGCTCCTTTTTTACAATTTGCGCACTGGGGCTGTTGGTACTATTCAAGGCTTAAAAATGGAAACTGTCGCCACCTTTAATTAAAAAGTGTAAAAGCCAATAAGAGATATTGGTGCCAAAACAGATGCCTCTGGTAAGGCTGTATAAGTCATGAATATAAGTAGTAATAAGTAGCTAATTCACCATTATTCCTGCAAGGACGGCGTGTACAGGCAAGCCAAGCTTTCACTTTCTGTATTACTTAAGACAGTTACGTTCATATTCTCTCTTTTTTGTTGTTGGTGTTTGTTTTTTGATTTGTTACAGCTTTATAATTATATTCAGATTTTACAAGATCACAATTATTACCTGAGGTGGTCTTATTGGAGTGTAATATATGCGTAATAACAGGTGTTCACGGTCGAGGATTGGGCCCACATCTTACACGCCGCCATAAATCCATATTTTTATGTGGCTCATAAATAAATAAAAGGCAAACTGTGGGGATCAGTGACACTCTTTGAGTCGACAAGTGCAGTGACAACGACTTGATTTTCCACACAGTAGCTCTTTTTTTTTCCTTTCTTCACTCCCCCAGCCTGGAGGGACCCGTGGCACGGCCCTTATTATGATTTGTTAATATAACCCCTCTGCCTCCTTTAAGCCCATCCCTTTGCTGAATGTACCCACTGCTCATCATGCCACTTTCATACCCTACTGCACTTTCTGTGCTGGGAGAGCAGCAGTGAACCCACATGCACCTCCAAACAATTTTTTTCTTGTGATTTTAAGGGAGATTTTATTTAGAGGCGGTGCTTGTTGGCTCCAGAGTAGCGTCGTAGCGACGACACTTCTCCCTCAGTCCCTGTTAAAAGAGTTTGGCCAGGGCCAGTTGGTGCCGGGGGGTCGCCTATAGCTTAGTACTATCCTGGGGGGTGATTGCTGCGTCTTTTTTTTTTAAATCCCAGCAGATTTTTTTCTATTTTATTTTTTATTTTATTTTTTAAATTTTTTTCTACTTCTCTGAATATCGCCATTCTCTCACTCTAAGATCTGATACCCCTTCGAGATTTTTCCTTTCAGATCATGAACAAACTATATGTTGGGAATTTAAGTCCTTCGGTCACTGTCGAGGACTTGAAGCAGCTCTTTGGGGAGAGGAAGCTGCCAGTGGCCGACCAGGTCCTACTGAAATCCGGCTATGCTTTTGTGGACTTCCCCGATCAGAACTCGGCCATAAAGGCTATAGAGACTCTTTCTGGTAAGTGTGGATTTGATAAGTGATGCTGCTGGTGACAGGGAAATTTCACAGCGAGTTTAACTGCAAGACGAGGTTTAAAAAGCACAATAGGTCAGAGTGTCCGAAATGTGAAATAGGCTGTTAAGCAGCTCTTGTGTTATTTCTTTTACACATATATCTATATCTATATGTATATGTGTGTGTGTGAGAGTGTGTGTGTCTGTGTATGTTGTTCGGGACAGTGTTTGCGATCACATCCGTGTGTGCCATCAGAGTTTAGATGAACGCTCAGTCATGCACGCTCCAGCAAAAATTGGATAAATTATCGATCACAGGACACACTTGGGGCTTTAGTGCCCATTTGCCTAAAGAAAGCACGAGTCGTCGTAACGCAATTAACGCGCACAATACCCTATATTTTGGGGATTCCGATAGTGCGGGGCGCTACTTTGCAATCACCCACTGGAATGTATGGGATGGTCTGATGGTTCGGGTAGGCATAATTATTTTTCACTTATTTTTTATCTTGATTTTATTCAAGAGAGCACGGCGAAGCGAGCGCGGAAAACTTGTCAGATTCGTGTTCCTCTGATGTCTGGCTATGTTTTTACGAGGTGTCTTGGAGGTGGGTCACGGGGGTCCAGAGGAAAGAGCTAATAAACAGGTAGCTGAGGGGGGACGAGGTGAGACGCTAATTCCGTGCTGCGCCAGGCCACTCAATAGTAACGAAAAGCCGTGTTTGAAAGCCTCGCCGAAGAGCGCTTCAAATTCACCCTCCGAGCCGGGTCAGCACGGGGAATTAGGAAAAACACCTACCTAGAATAGAAAGAGTACAAGTCAATTCTCCTTTGCAAATCATCTCCTCTTTTGATGTTGCATTCTTTACTGGAAGCTGAAAAAATATCCCTCATTGCACTGTGAGGGTTGTGGGAGTGGAAAGCATGGCTGCCCATTTTCCCCATAGTATATAAGCTTATCATGCTTCATTTTGGCGCCGATACCCCCCCAATTGTCACCCACAGGACCTCACCCCGAGTTGGGATTAATGTAAACGTATACAGTTTGTTCGCCGCCGCGCACACAACGCGCCCGTGTACACTACTTTTTTCAGGGGTTGGCTATTTTGAATGGGGACGCACCTACTTGGTGAAGTGATTCAAAGTGTTGGTGTGTAGGCCTACCCAGCTTGCATTGTTACTTTTATGAACACAACAGCTAACGCTACACTATCAATTGTTTTTCGTCCCTACAGGTAAAGTTGAATTACACGGAAAGGTGATAGAGGTAGACTACTCTGTTCCCAAAAAACTAAGGTAGGCCTACAATCTGTGACACACACGTTCTCCACAAACACACACGCATTGTATCATACGCCTATACTGTGCCCCATGGCAGACTTGTGTGACCTGTAGGCTTCCGCTGTGAAATATAGCGAGCAGATTTTCCCTCTTTTCTCGGCTGCCGTGTGTGATTTCTGCCACGCTGTTGCTGCTTTGTTTCCTGGCGATTAAATTGCGATTGTGTGGTGATTAGACAAAGGGAGTTGAAGGGGTGGGTGGGTGTTGGGGGGAGAGAAAAGGGCGATAAAGAAACAGTTTAGTCCCAACATCCGCACAACACACGGTGGCTGCTGCCATATCGCGTGATCTTGCAGCAAGGCCTATCCCAGTTTAAAACATGGACTCACGCGCACACGCTTGACGTGTAATAATTAATATATCCTAATTAAATCTCACCTAAAGGCTGAAATTAAACTTGGTTCAAGTTTAGGCTGAAATTAACGTGGTCCAAATGCGTTTATGTTTTAACCTCCTCTCCCTACGCAAGGTTATTTTTCCATATATGTAGGCGATAAAAGTTGGGTTTCTTTATTGACTGTTGCACTGCAATGCACGACGTGATGCATACCAATCAGCTGCCTCTTTCTCCCCTATATGCATGCGTGTGGATGTATGTGGGAGTCACGCTGTGTGTGTAAGAGAGAGAAGAAGTAGCAGCTAGGGTTGACTGTTTTAGTGCGTAAATCTATAGGTCAGCCCCTCAGCTTTACAACCACGACACCACTGCTGTGTACTTGTGTTTGTGTCAGCTTGCCCACAAACGTAAGAAATCCACGAGCTTTTTAATTTCTTTTAAATGCCTGGGTATATTAAAGAAAGAAACTAATTTTTTTTACCCCTACGCGTAACGCCTGAAAAAGTCACTCGTATGTGGCAGTTTGCGCAGCCTAAACACTCCCTCGACATCTATAGATCCACCCATTTTCACAACAATGCCATTGGCTATAGGGAAAAACTACATTGCGTGACAAAAAGGTAAATATTCAAGCCCCTTGTGGAGGAACACGTGACCCATACTTTATGTGCTTCCAGCATAGTCCTCCCCCTCTAGTGCAGGCTTTCTACTTTCCTGCCTAAGCAGCCCCTTCGTGTTTTTTCCTTTCTTTTTTTTTTTGCTTAACAACATTGTAGAAAAAAATCTGCATGCTTTACATATACAATGATCGAGCTGCTGTGTCGTTTTCCTTGCTTTATGGCTCGATCTAAAGACGTTTTGTAAGCTGCAAGGCGCAACATGGTGTAAAAGCCTGCGCCACTCCCCACAGTTAATGTGCACGTAGGCCATGGCAATGTTGGAGAGCCTCATAATGGCTGCCATGATGGCCCTGCACACTGCACGGCTATAGGCTGAATCAGATGGAGCAAATGTCCATACATGTGCCCGATGTGTCCAATCGGCAGTGTGTACAGCTGCTGGATGTGCTTGCATGTGCTGAAAAAGGCCTTAAAGCGGAATCCTCGCCATATGAGCGAGATCAATACTAGTGCTGTTTGAATACGTATAGGTGTTCATTTTGTAACGCAGAGCCTGCCTCAACGTGACACGTGGAGGTGCAACTTAATAGTTTGCTGTTGTTGTTGTTCGCTTGGTTTAAATACAGAATGCCTTAAAAAGTAGTGAATTTAAATTTGAAACCCTCTCCGCAGAAGTTCGCCACGATTTGTTTGGAGATTTTGCGACAGAAACGTTGGCCCAGATTTAAATTTTAAAAAGATTAAAATGCGTATTTTTTGTGTTCACTATAAGATTTAATTATCATAATTTACAGGCCTCCAGTTAATGCAAATGTCTCATCTTTTTCGTGTATAATTTCTTTTACATGTATTCAAGCTCTACGAGACATCATTGAAAATGCAATTTAGATGTAATAATATAGGACGATTCTACGCTGTTTGCTTTATTTATGGTATTTTCTAAATCTTGCATTTAAATAATTATGTTAACAACTGCAGGAATTCTCGTGGATTTAATTGCAGCTGAGCTCGATGCATATAGTTACACAGGGCTCATCAGTTTTTGTCTTGTTATTTAGGAAGCTGTGTGAGCTTTATGTCTCATCTTCAGGCCTGCTGACACTTCTTGGGTTTTGTGAGGCTGCTGTAGTTTCAGCTGCTGCTTGTTTATATATTTTTAGTTATGTTTTGTTGTGTAACAAGGTCCCTGTGCTGACAGCCATATATGGATTCACAGTTAAATTGTACCCATTTTAAAGGGTAAAATTCAGATTGATTATGGTGACTTTTTAGCTTTTTGTTTGCTAATGAGTGAAAGCCTGGGCCTTTTTAAACGTGTTTTTAAATCACCTGATCAAAAACAAAGGTGTGAGTTCATGTGGTTTTGATGTCCTGTTTGCCATTTAAATATTATTTCACCTCTGTGCAGTTTATGTGTTCACATTTCAAATAGCTTTGGAGCTATGAGCTAATTTATAAGAATAAAAGTAGCTTTTGATTTTATTTGGGGAAGTTTGGAAGCTTCTTGTCAGGGAAATGTTGAATAATTAGTTACAAATTTATAGTCATATTTTAAAGAGAGTTTTTACAATTATGAGGCTTGTATCTGCTGAAACTGTTTGTTTGTAGCACTTTATTAGTGTTTTAAAAATATGGATTACTTAATATAGATTTCAGTGTTAAGACAATTGTTACTCCAAATGTATATATTTATGTTAATGGACTCATACTTTAAATAATTTCTGTGTTTTACATATATATTTAATTGCCTTGACATGAGCTTGATATATAATTGTAGGTTTTAAAAATAATTGTTTATTGCAGCAATAATCAGTGGAACTCATGAAACAGAAATTCAGTATGCTTAAGAATAATTATTATTAGCCATATTTCTTTTATTGTAGTTGCCTAATTTATATGTTCCTAATTAGAGTGCAATTGCAAAGGAAATTATTTTGATATTATAGTTAAGCAAAATATCTTTGTTGCATTTTTGCTCATGTGTTTTGTTTTGTTTTTTAATGGTGGCCTGTTTTTACACAAGAAATCATTTAAAAAAAAGGTTTGTCCTCCATATTAAGTTTCTTGCAGTCGTTGCTCGTGCTGCACACGAGGCACACGAGAGTGGGACTTGGTGCTAATTGATATTGGAGCTTCATAAACCGTTTGCAGTGTTGCTTGTCTATCAAACCTGAGCTGGAGTTGCACGCAAAATGACCAATGTGAGCGCTTGCTGTGAGCCTGATCAATAGTCAGTCAGTGATAGTAAGCACATGAAGGTGGTGCTTGCGGAGTAAACGCAATTAAAGCTGTCCTCCTGTAATATCATGCAGGTTTGTTTACTTGCTTGTTCAGTGACAAAAACAGACTTTTCCTCCTTCCAATTATCTCCCGGCACCTTCGACATGCCTAAATGAAAATGTGATACATTTGTGACCGAGTGCTAACTCTTGTGCTACACTCCACTGTCTTTCTAATGAGCTGTTTTGTGCTCTTCATCTACGTATTAAGCTAGCTAACAGTTGTTTAATAAAGCCAGGCTGATTACAAGACGTGCATTCTTTTTTTTTTTTAATAATGGGATACTACGGCGTGGTGTAAACATCTGCATTGCACCACAGTGGTGCCCGTGCAGATGTGTGTGTTGGGTTGTCTGTGCACACTGAGTCAAAACACCGAAATACGATAGCCATCAGTTGATCCACTCAGAATCCATTAATACTCCCCAGTTGATCCTGGGCGAAGGGGAAGCTCTCCAATTCAGGCTCTGGTTTTGTCTGGAGTGATATCAGGAGGTACTGTATTGCTCTCCTCCAAAGCCACATCCGCTGTACCCTCCTCCTCCTGTCTCCTCTCACCTGTCCATAAGGAGTGATCCCTCAGAGTGATCTGTTTTATTTAGGAGGAGATGCCACACGTTTAATCTTCCATACAAATGTATCCCCTATTGAGATCTTGTGTTATAAAAGTTATGGCTTATGAAATTGCTCTTCATTAGCAATTACAGGAGAAAAAATGACAATTTTCTTCTTAGAAATTAGCCTTGGGCTTTTATTTTTTCTGTGTTCAGGCTACTGCATTTCAAATTTCAGCGCCTCTACAACTCTGCTAAATTTGTATAGCAATTATTAACTTTTTCATGAAAGTGAAAGAGTATATTTTCTCTCCTGAAGTGATAACAGGCTTGCTAGTGCAACAGAGTACATAGCTTAAGGGAGCAGCGAGATTAGATGTGAGAGAATTGTGAGTTCATTGTGTGTCTATTGTAGCTGTGGGATCACTGTTTAAGCTCCCCGAGAGTTTGAAACACCTTTTTAAAAAAGATCTACTTTTTTTTTTTTATTATAACAGAAGCTTGCGTGTGTATCACAGCAGTGTCTGTAGAAACTCACTTCTCAATGAGCTGCCACTCACATTTCACTGCAACCTGTTGCATGACTAATAGTTCCTGTAGCATTACACCCATTACAACCAGGATTTAAATAATCGGCTAGATGACTCTCCAGAGCCATAGTGAGGAGGTGTGGAAGGCGTGGCTGGAATGAGGAGGATTGCTCTGACTTGATGACTTAGTCTCTGACTAAGCCGTCCAAATATGCTAGAAATAAGGGAAGTAAAACAGGACTGGTCACTATTTGGAGATGGTTTCACCTGAAGGAGAGTGTGACAGCGGGAGAAAGAACTAGAGAGGTGCTATGTATCATCATCATCATCCAAATGGGAGATGAAGGGGACAGCTTTGTGTTTTTGTTTGTGACCTCACAATCGTGCATTGCTGCTGCAATTTTTATCACAATGGAATAAAAAGTGTAATGAAAAAGAAGTCTGTTGTGAAAGGGAAATGAAACCCTCATGATTAAAGACGAGAGGCTTAAAGTTGCCTTGAACTGAGACACCTGAAGACATTTTATTTCAATCTGTAAGTTTGTCCCTGAAGATATGCTGTCATTGGCTTTCTGTAGAAGATGATAGAAAAAGTTGAAGTTCTGAACTTATCAAGACTAAAAAGTTGCATTTCT